CACGATTTGACACCGCCATCTATGGCGATTTTTCATTTTTTTTTGCCTTAGCGAAATGACTCTAAAATTGAGAGGCTTGTACCTCACATCATACAGAACTCATTAAAAAAAAATCAGGAAAAAAAAATTATTTTTAGGCATTAAAACGATTTGTTTTAAACAAATAAATAAATAAAAAACTAATTGAACGCTGTTCAATTTTGAATGAGAACGTGCAATCCACGTTCAAACGCACATTTGAACGCGAACGCGCGTTCACGGGGTTCAAACAGTTACACAGGGTGTCATCCGGCTGTGGGCCGAAGCTGTCTGTAGTTCCTTCGCGCGCGCCATTATTCGGATAGTGTGGTTATCTTGCGATCTCAGCGTGTTGTGTGCGCGGGTGCTGTTCGCAGCCAATCTTTGGAGCGGGTGCGGGGGGCTGTGTTGGATTGTGTGGTACCTTGGCGTTGGAGATGGCCTACGGAGGGGAAGTTCACCTGCAATTCAAACAGCTGGACTTCTCGTCGTCGCGGCAGCTCATTGCACGTTCCACGACTGTTCGACGTTCTTTTGGTAGGCTGGCCGTCGTGACCCGCCTACGTGGGCCTCGACCATCGCTCCTTGCGGCTGCTCGTTACACCCGCTACCTGGTTGATCCTGCCAGTAGTCATATGCTTGTCTGAAAGACTAAGCCATGCACGTCTAAGTGTGAACACTTTGCACTGTGAGTCAAGGAAATGCAAGACAGAGCCGCTAGGCTCGCGATGGAACCGATCCTGCAGTCCAACCCGGAAACTGAGCGGGAGGCAATGAGGGAGACAGAGTTACAAGTGGACTTGCAGATTTGGGAGGAGTGCCAAGTGAAGGCACAGCAAACACAGGGGAACGGAGTGCCCGTGACCAGGACGAGCAAGAGGAAGAAACGAGGGGATGCCCGGCGAGAACGGGCATGGGAAGGGAGTCCGTCGGTCAAGCCCGACCCCATGCAGATCGACTTGGAAGAATGGATGTTCGGGGATCATCCCGCGGCCAGCAAGGGAATTGCGTCAAAGAGCCCCCCCCACCAGGTGTACGAAGGGCATGCAAGCGAACCGGCCGCCATGAGCCAACACAAGGTAGCAACGGAGCTGCAGCCTCAGACGGAGGCTCCAGGGGGGGCGGGTGGCTCAATGGACAAAGAAGTGGGACATGGGAGTCAGCGGGAGGAGGGCGAAGAGATGTTGTTCGGAATGCCTAAGGATGGGAGAGACCAGCTGGAGAAAGAGCAGGGGAGTGACATGGGGCCTGCAGAAGGAGCAGGGGAGTGACATGGGGCCTGCAGAAGGAAAGGCAACAGGGAGCGCAAACGAGGTAAGAGAGGGATTGGAGAGGGCGAAAGAGATCAAGGGAGAGCTAGCCGAGGAGGAACCCCGAGGGAAAGAGGACTCAGCCCAGGGGAACGGGGAGGGGTTGATGCTACCTGCCCAAACACCCACGCCCGCCCCTGATGAGGGGGCGGGGAACGGATGGCTTGTGGAGAACAGCTCGGCATCACGCAGGCAGGTGCCTGCCCCAGAACTACACAAGAACGTCAAAATAGAACCAGAGGACGAAGGAGAAGGCGCCCCCCAGGCAACGAGGTACGAAGGCAAGGGGAAAACAACCCTGCGCACGGATGAGTCCAACAACTGTGCGCCCTCCCGCTCAGGTTATGACACGCCGATCATAGTAGAACGGGACAAGAGGGAGCGGGACCCGCGTACACAGCACCACAGAGTCAAACCGGCGATAAAGGGCCTACCCCAGAGCTCATCAGCCGAATGTATTCCGGTCCCGACTACCTCGACGGAATCGAACGAGTCCACGAAGCAGCAGCAAGCAGTTCAAACAGAACCCGCCTGGCATCGCCCGTCACCGGGTGAACACAAGAAAGAGAGTGCCCCAGCGCAGGGGCAACCAGACCAGGAGGCGATGAGCCGTGCCCTGCTGACCGACGAGGTACTGGAGCCAGAAGAGGCAGAGTACAAGCAGGAACAGCGGGCGGAGCCAGGTATGGAAGGAAGGAATAAGAGGCACGAGCTACAGCAAGACGCACAGGGAACAAACGAGGTGGACGGACGGCAGCAACAAAAGCAAGACGCCAACGAGGGAATGGACGAGGTCATGCAGCAAGGGGGGGACGAGAGGCGGACGCAAGGGAGTGGTAAAGAGACCCCTCCCCAGCCACACATCCCTGAAGACGAAGAGGAAGCGCCGTGGTGTGCCCTGGCGGTGAACCACAGGAGGGAGATGGTTACTTCCAATTTATCAGAGATCCTGAAGGCGGGAGAACTCTATGTGTGCCCTCTTGTATTATGGTGGTCTGCCGATGGGATCAAGCTATTAATGAAGGGCAAGGTAGACGTGCCAGTCTTTAAGGCCACTTCCCTCCCGCAGATTCCTGAGGTGATAGAACAAACTCGCAAGTGGCTGGGATCAGGCTATGAGCTCGCTGAGATCCCGCAGATCTCGGCCTCCCGCTTCATCAGGCAAACAGACAAAGCTGCGGACTACGCCATAATGACCTTCTTTCTGGCAGCCACACCGCTCAAGGCAGGGCGACCGTGCATGAGGCTGCGAGGGGCGCGGTGGGTGGACTTCTCTGAGATCCAAGGACTGGCAGCGCATCCCTGGGATTTCCATGTCATCATCCACCAGGCATCTCTGGGCATTCTGGAACAAATCGAGGCCAAGCTCCCGGAGGAGGAGCGGTTTGACTCTCAACACTTTAAGGAGGGGAAGGGTATTTGGGAGAAGGCGGGTTAGCATAGTATTCAGATTGGGTATTTTTTTTTGTGGGGTGTTGTGGTTCGGCACACCCCCCCCCCCAGCAATAAAAACAGGTTAGGTAGAGGGCAGAGGATGGTGGGAAATAGAACATGTAGTAGGGACATGGAATGCCCGAGGACTAGGGAATCGATCCCTCCTACCGAAGAGAAGAGAGCTTCGCAGGTTGGTGACCACTCATCAGATTGATGTAGTCTGCATTCAAGAGACAAAGCTCAACGCCAGAAAGATCACCACCCCTTGCATGTGGTGGAAAGGCCATCAAGTATGGGCCCGGGCCCAAGGCACGCGCGGAGGGGTAGCGATCTTGGTCTCCCCTCACTTCCAAGGCACGGTGGCTGATTGGTTCTTTGATACCCAGGGCCACTGGGCTTGGGTGGTGCTGCAACGAGAGGAGGAAGTATGGGGAGTACTGACTGTATATGGCCCGCCAGAGCTGGGGACCCGCAGGCGCATGTGGGAGCAGTTGGCAACAGTTACGCCACAGGTCGACAACATTGTCATCGCGGGCGACTTCAACACGATCATATCACCCGAGTTGGATGCAGCTGCCATGCGATCTGATGAAGCAGACTCGGAAGCACTGCGAGCCAGTATGGCTAGGATGGGATGCAGCGACTCGTTTCGAGCCATGCATCTGGACCTCAGGGCATACACGTTTAGTGGCAGCAATCCGAGGCGACGCAGCCGAATAGATATGATCTGGGCCTCGGACCCGTTGAACATGCGATGTGAGGATGTCTACATAATGCCCACAGCTTCGTCAGACCACGCGGCGGTCATGGCCTCCTTCGCCATAGGAAAAATGGAGATGGGTAAACCGCCGGCATCGGTCCCTGCATGGGTCTTCACCAGCCCGGACTACCGTCCGCTCGTGCATCAGTTCTGGGAAGATTGGACCGAGCACTGCCCACAAGATGAATACCTGCAGTGGATCACCGAAGCCCTCGCCGCACTGCGGCGACTGCTGCTGTCGAAGCTGCGGATTCAACGCCTGGCACACCAGAGAACAGGCCAAGAATATGTGGACAGACTGCTCGAGCTGGACAAAGGACCGGGGGACGCGGACGAAGACAAATGGTGGGCAGAGCGAATGGAGACAATACGGCAAGGAGGGAGTGGCAGGTAGAGGACGCGACGAGGTGGGGGAGAAGGAACAAGGAGGCCTGGACTTTGGTGGGCGAACAAATGGCCAGGAGGTTCTTTGCGGAGCTCAGAAAGAAGAAAGCATCGACAGTCATGACTGCAATGACGCATCCGTTTGATCCAGCTGTAGGGCGGCAGGAAACCACGCGAGGCATTCTCAAGTGCGTAACAGATTTCTACAAGGATCTACTTGCAGAAGAAGAGACGTGGACCCCGGAGGCCATGTCCACCCAACCTGAAGATGAAGTATGGCAGTTTGTGCGCAACCGGCTTGACTTGGACCACAGCTGCCGCATGGAGCAAGACATTCGTTAGGAGGAGGTGGAGGCGGCAATCAGGGAGCTCCCGCGGCTAAAGGCGGCAGGCCTGGACGGGATACCGATTGAGCTCTTCAAGGAATTCAAACAGTTCTTCGCAATACTCCTGACGCAAGCCTTTAATGACGCCTTGAGGCAGGCCGAGTTCCCAGCAGGCTTCGCCGACGCGTATGTGGTGCTGGTGTACAAGAAGGGGCCCAAGGAGGATGTCCGCAACTGGCGGCCAATCTCGATCCTGAAATGCTACGTACAAGATCCTGGCGAAAGTATTGGCGACACATGTCAACGCCGTGCTGCCTATGTTGATCCACCCTACGCAGACGGGATTCGTCCCGGGCCGCCAAATAACAACCAACATCCTAATGGTCCAACAGGTATTGGAAGAGAGTGAGGTGTCGGGACAATCGATGGCTTTCATATCCATTGATCTGCAGAAAGCATACGACAGGGTCAGATGGGAGTTTCTCCTGCAGGCCATGGCCCGACGGGGGTTTGGGGCCATATTTAGGGGTTGGGTACGAACGATCCTGTCCCCTGCACTGTATGTCATATACATCGAATCGCTGCAAATTTTTTGTTTTTGGGTGTGAGTTCTGAGCTCCTTCAGTGGGACGCACGACTACAGGGCTTGAAACTGCAGCAAGGCGAAGAGCTTCAATCATCGGCGTTTGTAGGGCCATCATCCCACCTGAGACTGGTCAGCTGCACATCCTACAGGAAGACCTGGGCACCTTTTGCAAATACTCAGGGGCCCGGGTTAATTGGGAGAAGTCACAAGCCATCTTGCCGATGGGTATGGACCCACCAGAAGGATGGAACATCCCGGTAGCAGCAGACGGGCGAACCCGGTTCCTGGGAGTCAGTCTCATCCCCAGTTGGGGGGGCATCGAACAGATGGCGAGGCAAGCAGTGATGGCGACGACCAAGCTAAAGGCATGGTCCAAAGCCGTGCACCTAGGAGTCTTCGGCAAAGCATTGGTGATCAAGAACTCTATCCTGGCTACAGTATGGTACGCGGGAGCCATTCATATGCCCGCCAGGCGGACATTCGCATACCTGCGCCAGACCATCCAGGCCTATCTATGGTCCTACAACGCAGACTCCCAGACTTCAATCTGCCGAGTAGCCTGGAATAAGCTGATCCAGCCGAGAGGGGAAGGGGGACTGGGCCTCCTGGACCCACACATGCAAATGATGGCCCTGCAAATGCGCCATTTGGTATGGTACCTGCTGAGGACGGCCGGGGAACAGTGGCACACCCTCACCACCCGGCATTTGGCGCATGCCCTGCACTTACCGCCTGCGATCGTAGAGCTTAGCCTGGTCAGCAGTGGCCTCATCGGGCATGTGGTACGGGGAACGGTCTGGTCGGTGCCGCTGGGCCTATGGAAGAAGATCAGCCTATTGAACCGTGAACCCGGGACTGCAGATGCCGTGTACAACCAGCTCCTCTTTGACAATCGCTTCATCTGCGACAACCAGGGGGACTGCTTCCCCTGGCAAGGGAAGCGCGGCACCTATGGACGGCAATGGGCTGAGCAAGGGGTTTTCAAGGTGGGCGACCTATGGAATGAGCACAAGAGGGAGTGGAAAACGGAGGAAGAAATGGCTGCCGAACTCCCACACCAAGTGCAGCGGTCACGCAGGCTGGCGGAGTTGAGAGAAGCCGTCCCCACGCAATGGGTGGACCTGCGGAGACAGGACCAGCTAAACGCAGGAGAGTGGGTTAAGCTGAAAGGAGAGAAGACGCCAGCAAGGGTCTACAGGGTGGAAGCCATTGGGCCCGGCGAAACAGTGCAGGTCACGACGTGGCAAGCCACCACTAATTATAGCGGGCTCGGTGAACCACTGGTACAATGCGGCCAAGGGGGCCAGCTTCCTCGTCGAGCGGTGGAAACAATCTCCGTGCTCCAAGGGAGCAAGCAAGCGCCAGGCCACATGATGCCATTCAGGATTGCTGATCGCCGACGTGAACTGCCCATCGACCCACAGGACTGAACACGGCCGAAGCAGCACCACCATCAGAAGAAGGTTGCCCTCCAGCAGCTGACCACCAAGCACATATACAGGTCGCTGCTTCCGCAAGTGGACATCTGGGAGAACCTTCGGGATCGATGGGCTAAAAGGGCATGGCTCCCGCCGGACCGCCTGGCAAAATGGACGCGAAAGCAATGGAAGAGGCAATGTGCGACATGGGCGAGCCTCCCAGACCAGAAAACACGCGGGCCTGCTATGGATGATCGCTCAGCTGGCAGTCCCCACAGCAGAATGGCAGGCCTCAAAAAGCCAGTACCAAGACGCTACCTGCGCGGCAGGATGCGGAGAGATTGAGGACCTCCCACATCTTTTCATCCAATGCCCCACAGCATATGCCTTCTGGCGCTGGTGGGCAGACGAGATGGCGGACAGCTCCCCGTTACGCATAGCGGAGGACGACAGTATGGGCATCCTGCTGGGAATCAGTATATCCCCGCAGACCGGCCAAGGAAGCCAACTGGTAAGTGAGACAGTGCGTGCTGAGATCCTCTGGGCCATTTGGACCATCCGGAATGAATGCGTACGGCAAGGGACACCGCCAGCCCTCGACAAGCTTAAACACCGGGCGATTGACAACATTAAGGCAGCGATTAGAAGTGACCTTACCCGATGTACCAGGATGACAGTGGCAGGGGAGGCGCGGTTTTGGAGTCGGTGGGAGCCGTACGCGGCATGGGTAACCCGAGGGGAGCAGCCTGGGCAACTCGCCTTTGGGCGGCGTTTGCAGACAGCAGATCCATGTCATGACTAATATAGGATAGGACTGTACATCTAGGTAGGGTGGGGAGAGTAGGTGTTAGGACGGGTGAGGGCGTACTGTACCATAATAGGGAACCTAAGCGGACAACTGTGAAAAATGCTGGGGATTGGCTGCTCTTTTTTTGCAAACTGAATGTATGGGGTTTGCGTATAGATGTCTTTGTGTAGACAAGGGACGGGGACAGGGGGAGATGAACAGGGAACAGTAGATCGGGAGGCGTGGATGATGGGGTGGAAACCTGAGTGGAAACTTGAGTACGGGGGATGGGGTATGCAGACAGCACTAGGGCAGGGATAGAATCTTGAGTGAAGCAGAATAGCTTGTGTATACACTTTGCCAGCAACAGTAAAAACAGCGTAGGAGTACTCGTCTATCAGGCTGGGGAAAAAAAGGAAAAAAAAGATAAAGGCAGTAGGTGTTGACTACCCAATAATGGCAGCACGGCGACAGGCTCAGGAGGCTACAGGCACCCCCCCCCCCCTGCACCCCTCTCCTCCCCAGAACCACCCTGCTAAGCGTCTGGGTACCACGGTGTGTTTCCCGGCTAGCAGGTAGGCTCTCGGGAGTGAAAGGGGTTTGAGGGGTGGGTGGGCCCTCATAGCCCCCCCCCTGAAAGGCGCCTCGAGCCCCAGGGGTAAGGCACCGCCCCCTCCCCCCCCTCTCTTCTCCCCTTTCCCTACCTCGGACCCTCTTTCTCACCCATCTGCTTGTATAACCATGCTTGCCGGTGATAAGCAACCGGACTGCTGCCCCCCAGAATAGAAGGGGCTGCGGTTTTCAAAAAAAAAAAAAAAAAAAAAAAAAAAAAAAAA